TTTGCATAGAGGTAAACATTTTTCGGCCTAGAAGACCCAGGAAGTAGACAGATCATTAAATTTTTTGACATCTAGAAAATTCAAGTATGCCAAAGCTCTCAATCACAACAAAATCACCATCATTTATTTACATACAGTTTTAAAATCCAGGGCTTGATTCTCCTCAGGAGAGTAGTCATCTGAGCTTATGTTGACAAATTTTATAGTACCATACCCCTTATTCCTCTGTCTTAGCATGTTAACCTGTCAAATTGAAAACAAATTAACGAAAGCATTTATGCCACCTTGCTCATAATACACAAAGACATCACTAACATAATTAAAAGCTTAAATATCAACCCAGATGGGTCTCTCCTAACAGACCTCATGCATGCAGAGAGGGCAATCTCCATCATACAGCATTTTAATCTTCCAATCTTGTGGGACTTCATTTTCATCCTTTTTCCTGGTAGCAACAGAATCCGCTGTTGCACCCTGGACAGCGCGAATTGGATACTTATATCCTCCTGCAAACAAAAGCTTATCATTTCTCGCATATACATAAACATCATACATTCGCTGCACTTGAAACAATCAAAAACTTCACAAGATTCTTGAATGGTCAATATATTTAGAGAAGAAGGGCCAAAACATTAACTTAACCAACCCATAAATCCAATTACTCTTGTTATCTCGTACATGCCACGAGAAAGAAAAAAACAGTTACAAGGAACAGAGTTGTATAAAGGAGAGGTATCCATCAAATGAAGAGTGCGTTTAGCCAAGGAAGAAAATAGTGGCGGACTGACCTCTTTGGGAAATGGGAGGAGATAGGAGCTGTCCATGGAGAGGACGCGAAGAAGGATGGAAGCTGAGATGAAGACAGTGAGGAATTGATAGAAGAGAAGGGTGTCTTTGTCTCCCAATGCAAGCAGTAGCAGCTCCTCTGATTGCCATGGATTCTTGTCTTGCCGAGCTTGAGGTTTCTGTAACTTCGAACCTAATTAGTTAATTTATTCATGGTTCTGGTTTCCGTGTACACGTGGCAATCTGGGCTTCACGCAGACATTTTAGGGGGGGAAAAGAAAAGATTCTAACAAAGTGGGAGAAAAATAGGAAATGGTATATTGTGCGGGTGCTACCGAAAAATCCATAATTAATTTATGTACCCCGGAGGATCAGTTGTGCAAATTTGGTGTTTTGGCTGCCTGGAAACATCAACACCTCGTCACTTAATTCAATCACCTCCCCTGGCTTTCTCGCTCTCTCTCTCTCTCTCTCTCTCTCTCTCTCTCTCTAGTCGCGACGAGTTTCTCTGAAAATGGCGTTTCTACTGAATAAAACCTCCATTTCTTCTCACTTTCGATCGCATTCGCAGGTATTCATTTGATTCTATTTGTAGATATATATATATATGTACACATGAACATATATGTAAGAATACATCAGGTATCGGTTTTGTTTAGTTGCTGTATGATTTCTTGTGATCTTTATCTAACTCTTTTATTCTTTCTCTTAAAATTAACAGAAGACGGAGGACGCGCTTTGTCTGTCTCGCCGTGGATTCCATGTAGAGCTCGGGGCTCGCGAGAAAGCTGTGAGACTCGCTTCCATTTTCACTGTTATTATTGCTCGTATAGATGTTGCTTTGCTCATTTTTCTCTTTCGTTTTTTCCCAGATTTTTATTTGCTTATTCGTTCATCTAGAGTTCATGTCCATTTAGGTTTTTAGGGCTTTGTGATATGCCTGATTTTTTCCTTTAGTTGCGATAAGACAAAATCGGCGTTTTAGCTTCTAGATTGAGTTAAATTTGTTCAGTATCAAATTAAAGGACTATTGGACGATTTAGTTTTTTATTTTTTTTAGCTTGAAATTTATATTTGAGCTTGTGTGTGCATGTGGCTGAATGGCGGTGGAAGGGTCCTTCACGGTAGGAGATAATAGCTTTAACTGCTAATCTTATATGTAAATTTGATCATTTCTGGGTCAACGTTTTTTTAAAAAAATGGTAAATATTACTTAGTTTTCTGTACTTCTTCAGACATGTGTCTGGTTCACTTGGAGCACCAGCTTATTCTTGCTTTCATACTCATGCAGCTGTTGGTTGAGGATCCAGCTCTGAAGAGATTCAAATCACATAAGAAGGGTGTTTGGCGGATAAAAAGAATGGGGGATGTACTAACGATTGTTGTAGTTGCAGGTATGCAAGTTATTGTTGATAAGGTTGAAAAAATGATAGAAGATATCTTATTGTGCTCTTTTTGGTGATTAGTAGAGTTGATGGTTCCAGTCTGGTTTTTGTAATCTTTGATGCACCTGGAAAAAAAAATTTGGTTGTGCCTTTAGCTTGTTTTTGACGTTTAACTTTGAAGACATTATTTGGGAAAGGCCTACATGGGATGGATGCACTGGGATGCAACTTCTAATACGCTTCTTTTCTCTGGAAAGAAAAAATGAATAACACTTTGAAAGAAATAAGATGGAGTTCATGAAAGTTATTATGAAAAATCTTGGCCATGTTTCTAAAAAATTTTGGATTTATGACATTCTGTTCATTAAACGTAAATGTCATAGCTATTTCTTTGAAATAAAAAAGTGTAGCATAATTATGCTTATTTTGATGTATCTCCTAGAACACTCCATAAATGGGCCTTTAATTGCATTTCAAGCCACCAAGTGGAAGCTACTTTTCTCATCAGAATCATCCCATAGAGAGCATCACTGATAGCTTCTTTTTTCTTTTTTTCCCCACATTGACCAAAATAGTTAAAAGCGCCAAATAATAAATTGATAAATTAGCTAGAGTTGTTCTTAGTCAGTACCAAACTTTTCTCCTTTGAAAGGTTAACTCTTTTTCCATTTCGCAAGTCTAAATTCAGACCTACTCACAATTGAGTCCCAAGGGACAGTCTCAAATATTTTATGGAAATGTAGGCACCTTATGTCCCAAATCTGAGAAGGAAAATTGAATCCCAACCTTTTCCGGTTGGTACCAACTCAAACTTGGTCATATTGATTTTGAGATCAGATACCGCTGGGAAGCAAAGTAGAACACATCTAAGGTTTAGTAAAGCTTACGGGTCGGATGTATGGAACGAGGTGGAACATTTGTACAACGCTATCTACTTATTTATTCCTTAGCTTGGAAAAAAGAGGCGACAACAGCAGAAT